GTGCTATTTAAGAGACTGAGCTGAATACAGCTCCTCAGACTGAGGAAGTCCTTTGGATGAGAGACGAAACATTTCTACATTTTTTTGTTGTTTTGCTTTGTTTTGTTTTTTTGAATGTCCAGAGGACCAGATTGAACTTTTTTAGATTTTTCTACCTGGATTATTGAGCATGCATCAGGATATTTCCTGTTTTTAGTTTTCTACATTGCCTTGTGATGTAACTGTTTTTTGCTGCTATTCCACTTGATTGTCCTTTTGGTTGGTATTTTGTTTCAATTTGTAAAAAAAAAAGAGAGAGAGAGAGAGAGAGAGAGAGACAAATTTGTATGCCTATTTTATGACTGTCTATTGTTGTTGTTATCCATTGTTATCGTTGTCATACATTGCTGTCATCACTCTTTGTTAAGAATTCAGGTCTCTCTTGTAAATGAATCCGTGAGGCTCAATGGGATTAACCTGTCTAAATAAAGGTTGAATGAATTTTAAAAAGGCAGCACGGTGGCGCAACTGGTAGAGCTGCTGCCTCTCAGCGAGCAGGTCCTTGGTTCAAACCCCGGTCCAGGGGCCTTTCTGGGTGGAGTTTGCATGTTCTCTCCGTGCATGCGTGGGTTTTCTCCGGGTACTCCGGTTTCCTCCCATAGTCCAAAAACATGCATGTTAGGCTGATTGGTAACTCTAAATTGTCCCTAGGTGTGAGTGAGAGAGTGAATGTTTGTTTGTCTCGTTTGTCTCTATGTGGCCCTGTGATGGACTTGCGACCCGTCCAGGGTGTACCCCGCCCCTCGCACAGTGATTGCTGGACATGGGCACCAGCGACCCCCGTGACCCAAAATGGAATAAGCGGGTAAAGAAAATGGATGGATGGATGGATGAATTTTAAAAATTCGCAACCGTAGTTCACGCCTTTGTTACCACTCAGCTGGATTACTTTATCGCACTCTATACAGGAATCAGTGACTCGTATCGTTCAGCTTCAGAGGGTACAGAATGCTGCTGTACGGCTTTTAACTGGCACACGAAAGTTTGACCACATTTCCCATTTTAGTCTCCCTGCACTGGCTGCCTACATTACAGTACATTTTAGGATTAATTTTTAAATTATTCTATTTGTTTTTAAAGCTCTTAATGGACTTGCCCCTGTCCTATCTCAGCTCACGCTATCTGTCCGAGTTGCTACATCCGTACACACCCTCTCGATCCCTCAGGTCATGCGATCAGCTGCTCTTGAATGTGCCGAAGACAAAGCGTAAGTTCAGAGGAGACCGTGCTTTTGCTGTGGCAGCTCCTAAACTGTGGGATGACGTTCCCTTGAACATCAGACAGGCCTCTTTCCTGTCTGTTTTTAAATCCTGTATTAAAACCCATCTCTTCTCCCTGGCCTTTGACACCATCTGAAATGTTGACTTTTACTAATTTTAATTGTTTTTTATTATCTGACATTATGATTGTTTTATTATGTGTACCATACAGCACTTTGGTCCCGTGGGTGTTTAAAGTGCTCTATAAATAAAGCTGGTATGGTATGGTAATATTTAGGTATCAGCGAGTGCTCAAATGAAGCTAAAGAACAAAAGGATCAGCTGATGTTCATAAAGTAAAAGCTAAAACATCAATTATGTGATGGGTCAAGTTTTATATATGAGGCGCAAGTTTGGAGTGAGTGCTGGAGTAAACACAAGCTGCAAAAGCATTTCTAATCAAACTGGCTGGAGAAGATTTCACCAAAAGGAAATGTGGAACAGAAATGTCAGCTGAGAAAAAAAATATGTAGTTTGAAACATCAGCTGATGTGCAATAAGAACCACAAACATTTAGCGGTCATGTTCTGCCTGTGTGTGTGTGGAATACTCAATCTGCACATTAAACAGCTAATAATGACATGAGTCACACACTGTACTGACTTTAATTTACAAAAACTCTCATTGTTGACATCAATCAAACATGTCAACATGCTAAAGGAGAAAAAGCTTTATTTTTTTATGACTTGGGGACGTAAATGACCACCTTATATAACTCTGGAGAAAATTCAGCGATGAAACACAGGTGAACTGACCTCCTTGATGGCCCGTCTTCTGTGATGTGCAGAACACGTCCAGGCAGGAAAAAGTGTGGGGGAGTGTGGGCAGGAAAGTCATCTGACGCCAGGCTCTGATAAGACGCCGAGGGGTGAATTATCAGCGACTCTTCCCCCAGAAGTGGCTGGCTAAGCTGATGCTCCCTCCTATTTTCCATCTCGGTGGGAAAATCATCCGGCTCTCCTCCAAACAGTTCATACCAACACCCCTGCAGCAGGATGCAGTACTGCAACACAGACAGTCACTTCAGATGCCACCACATGGGGTCAAACAACGCTAACACATCCCACAAACTCAAGAAGGTTCTTACTTTAGGTTTATTGCAGTTTGACACTATTGTAAGGATCCGTCTCTTTAGAATCTCCATATTGTGAATGCTCAACCTGTGCAACAAGAAGGGGAAAAATAAAAATAAAAATCCAAAATATGATGGCTCACAATAAGCTCCTCTGTGTTTGTAATAACAAATATAAAGTCCACATCAGTCTGTTTTACACGGCTTTGCTGGTAAATAAACACACCTTGGGGTAAACACATCTTGGTTTAAAAGGATATTTCAGCCTATTTGAAGCAGGGTTCTGGGTAAAAATTGTGAACAATTATTATCTTACCTGCTGTGGATAGCTATTTGAACTATCTTAGGAAAACTGAGTATAAGTCTGATGGACTGATGAGGTAATATCTAATCTGAACACATCTAAAAACAAAGTCAAGTCAAGTCAACTTTATTATAGAGCACATTTAAAACAGAACCTGTTATCAAAGTGCTTAGTGGATCGCTGTCGTTAAAAACACCTCCAATCGCCATGGTTTCAAAGCAAATACTATCTTATAAACCTTTACAGGTTCTCAAGGTTTCATTACAGGATTATTAACATATCATTCTACGATTATTTGAACAAGAAAACAGCAGCAACGAAGTATGGCGCTTCCAGCGCAAGCTGGTGTCAGTTACAGCAGAAATTTCATCCATCCATCCATGAATTCTCACACTAACTCTAAGGAAGAGTCCAGCTAAACTGCATAAATAACACATTTCAACCACCTGTATCCGCAATCTCATTCTTTCGGTCACTACCCTTAGTTTGTGACCATATGTGGGGGTAAGAACATAGACCGACCAGTAAACCGAGAGCTTAGCCTTACAACTCAGCTCCCTCTTCACCACAACGGACCAGCACAGAGTCCGCAATACTGCAGACACTGCACCAATCCGTCTATCAATTTCACGCTCCATTCAGCCCTCACTTGTGAACAAAACCCCAAGGTACTCGAACTCCTCCACTTGAAGGAGAACCTCACCCTTGACCCGAAGTGAGTAATCCACCCTTTTCTGACAGGACCATGACCTCAGATTTGGAAGTGCTGATTCTTATCCCAGCCGCTTCACACTCGGCTGTGAACCGTTCCAGTGAGGGCTGAAGATCACGGCACAATGATGGCAACAGGACCACATCATCCTCAGATAGCAGAGATGGAATCCTGAGGCCACCAAACCGGACTCCTTTCACCCCCTGGCTGCACCGAGAAATTCTGTCAGAATCAAAATCTGTAACAATGGACAGCCCTGGTGGAGTCCAACCCCCACCCTGAAGGGGTCCGACTACCTCAAGGAACACGGTCAAAAGCCTTCTCAAGTCCACAAAACACATGTAGACTGGATGTGCAAACTCCCATGAACCCTAGCAAAGGTAAAGAGGTGATCTAGTGTTCCATGGCCCGGATGGAACCTGCATTGTTCCTCCTGGATCTGAGGTTCGGCCAACTATTGGACTTGCTTCTCCAGTACCCCTAAATAGACCTTACTAGGGAGGCTAAGGAGAGTGATGTCCCTATAATTGGAGCACACCTTCCGGTCCCCATTCTTGAAGAGGGGAACCACCACCCCAGTATGCCAATCCAGTGGCACTTCCCCAATGTCCACCCATTGTTGCAAAGGAGTGTCAACCAAGAGAGCCCCACAACATCCAAAGCCTTACAAAAATCAGGGTGAATCTCATCGACTCCCAGAGCCCTGCCACCACGTAGCTTTTAACTACCTCGACAACCTCAGCCACGGTTATGGACGAAAACAACTTCAAAGTCCCCCGACTCAGCTTCCAATGTAGAAGACATGCCAGTGCAATTGAGAAGGTCTGAGACATATTCCTTCCACCTTCCGACGACATCACTGGTTGAGGTCAACAGCACCCCACCTTCACTGAACATAGTCTTAGTAAAGAAGTGCTTCCCCTCCTCCGCCACATGATGGTTTGCCAGAATCTCCTTAAAGCCGACCAAAAGCCTTTATCCAAGGCCTCACCGAACACCTCCCACACCCAAGATTTTTTTTCCCATTCATTCAACCTTTATTTCTACAGGTTAATCCCACTGAGCCTCGGGGCCTCATTTACAAGAAAGACCTGATTTCTTAACAAAGAATGATGACATTTTCTTCTTCTTCTTCTGCTTTCGGTTTTTCCCTCTTCAGGGGTCACCACTGCGAGTCATCCTCCTCCACCTTACTCGGTCTTCTGTATATATTCTGTCCTCACTCCAACTACCTTCATGTCCTCTCTAACTGTATCCATATATCACCTCTTTGGCCTTCCTCTTTGTCTTTTTCCTGGCAGCTGCATTTCTAACATCTTTCTACCAATATACCCATGGTCCCTCCTCTTGACATGTCCAAATCATCTCAGTCTGGCCTCCCTAACTTTATCTCCCAGTTGTTCAACATGTGCTGTACCTCTGATGATCTCATTCTTAATCTTATCCATCCTTGTCACTCCTAAGGAGAACCTCAGCATCTTCATTTCTGCCACTTCCAGTTCTTTCTCCTGTCTTTTTGTCAATGCCACTGTCTCCAGACCATACAATATAGCTTGTCTCACCACTGTCTTGTAAACTTTTCCTTTGACCTTTGCTGACACCTTTTTGTCACAAATCACCCCTGAAACTTTTCTCCATCCACTCCATCCTGCCTGGACTCTCTTTTTCACCTCTTTACCACATTCCTCATTTTCTTGGACAGTGGACCCCGAGTACTTGAAGTCCTGCACCTTTGTGACCTCTGCTCCTTGTAGCCTCACTGTTCCACTGGCCTCCATCTCATTCACACACATGTACTCTGTCTTACTATGGCTGACTTTCATTCCTCTTCTTTCAAGTGCATACCTCCACCTCTCCAAGTTCTCTTCCACCTGTTCCCTGTTCTTACCACAGATCACAATGTCATCTGCAAACATCATAGTCCATGGGGATTCCTGCCTGACCTCATATGTTAGACGGTCCATCACCAGAGCAAACAAGAAGGGGCTCAGAGCCAATCCTTGATGCAATCCCACTTCCATCTTGAAGCTATCTGTCACTCCTATAGCACATCTCACCACTGTCCTGCTGTCCTCATACATGTCCTGTACCAGTCTAACATACTTTTCTGCCACTCCAGATTTCCTCATGCATTACCACACCTCCTCTTTTGGCACTCTGTCATATGCTTTTTCTAAATCCACAAAGACACAATGGAGTTCTTTCTGACCTTCTCTGTACTTCTCCATCAGCATTCTCAAAGCAAAGATGGCATCTGTGGTGCTCTTTCTTGGCATGAAACCATACTGCTGCTCACAGATAGTCACCTCTCGTCTAAGTCTTGCTTCCACAACTCTCTCCCAGATCTTCATTGTGTGGCTCATCAACTTAATTCCCCTGTAGTTGCTACAACTTTGTACATCACCCTTGTTCTTAAAAATGGGCACCAGCAGACTTCTTCTCCATTCCTCAGGCATTTTCTCACCCTCATATATGCCATTGAATATTTGAGTCAAAAACCTCACTGTCATCTCTCCAAGACATTTCCAAAACTCCACTGGTATGTCATCAGGTCCTACTGCCTTCCCCTTCTTCATTCTTTTCAGAGCTTTCTAAACTTCACCCTCACTAATCTTTCCCACTTCCTGGTCCACAGTTTCTATGACCTCTAATCTTCTTTCTCTTTCATTATCTTCATTCATTAGCTCCTCAAAGTACTCCTTCCATCTTCCCATCACGCTCTCCTCACTTGTTAGAACATTACCATTCCTATCTTTAATAAGCCTAACCTGCTGCACATCCTTTCCAGCCTGATCCCTCTGTCTTGCCAATCGGTACAAGTCCTTCTCACCCTCTTTAGTGTCCAGTCTCCCATACAACTCATCGTACGCCTTCTGCTTTGCCTTAACTACTTCCCTCTTTGCTCTACGTCCCATCTCCTTAAATTCATGTCTCATCTCTTCAGTCTTCTCACTGTCATATTCCTTCTTGGCTAATCTCTTTCTTTGAATGGCGTCCTGCACTTCACTATTCCACCACCAGGTTTCCCTATCTTCTATTCTCTGTCCAGACGACACACCAAGTACCTTCCTACCTGTCTCTTTAATTACTGTTGCTGTAGTAGCCCAGTCATTTGGAAGCTCTTTCTTACCACCCAGAGCCTTTAACAGCTCCTCTCTGATTTTCTCACAACATTCTTCCTTCTTCAGCTTCCACCATTTGGTCTTCTCTGATTTTACTCTTTTTCTTTTCTTCACAACAACAGTCATTCTACACACAACCATCCGATGCTGCCTGGCCACACTCTCCCCTGCCACAACCTTACAGTCGCCAATCTCCCTCAGGTTTCTTCTTCTACACAGAATGTAGTCGACCTGCATACTCCTTCCTCCACTCTTATAGGTCACTCTATGTTCCTCCTTCTTTTGGAAATAGGTATTGACTGTAGCCATTTCCATTCTCTTGGCAAAATCCACCACCATCTGTCCTTCCTGGTTTCTTTCCTTGACACCAAACCTACCCATCACTTCCTCATCCACTCTGTTTCCTTCACCAACATGTCCATTCAGGTCTGCTCCGATCACCACTATCTTCTCCCTAGGAATACTCTCTATCACTTCATCCAGATCTTTCCAAAATTAATCTTTCTCCTCCCCATCACATCCAACCTGTGGAGCATAACCACTGACAATGTTTAGCATCAGACCTTCTACTTCTACGTTCAGGCACATCACCCTATCTGAAACTCTCTTAACCTCTACTACATTCTTTGCCAACTCCTCCTTCAGGACCACCCCTACTCTATTTCTCTTTCTATCCACACCATGGTAAAACAGTTTGAACCCTGCTCCAATGCTGTGAGCCTTGCTACCCTTCCACTTGCTCTCTTGGACACATAAAACTTCTACCTTTCTTCTCAGCATCATGTCAGCCAGCTCTCTACCTTTGCCTGTCATTGTCCCCACATTTACAGTTGCAACCCTCAGTCCTACTTTCTTCACTTTCCTCTTCTCCCTCTGTCTCCTGACACATTTCCCTCCTCGTGGTCTTTGACTAAAAGTAGCACAATTTCCACCAGCACCCTGTTTGTCAA